TCATACTTAATAATTTCTAACAAGAATAATGGTCGGGAGAATGCTACATTTTAATGCCGCATAATATGACAAGTGATATTGTAACTCATGTACTTCCAAGTTCTTCCTTCCACTTCTCATTTTTTTCTCCATATATACATATACTAAAGGGGATATGAACTTAAAAACATCATTCTTGTTTTAAGAGAGAGGTACATCACAACCCCTTTCGAAGATCAAATAAAGAGATCTGAATACAAAATTAAGAAGTTAATTATTTCATAATAATCCTGGTAACTCACAAGCTTGTATATTTTGGTAACAATATATAAGGTATGCTGCGTATAAGGTATGCTGGCCACCATATGAAGGCGTCTAGTGCTTTGATGCAGACGTATTAGCTGCCTTTGATGCTGCAATAAGTGATGGAGTCGATGCAAGGACAATAGAGCCAGCAAGAGATAAATCCCCTTCCAAGATATCAAAACATAAGAATCCCCTTCCACCACCGACTAGCATAAGACCTGTCCAAACTCTTTTGAACAATTAGCAGCTCAAAACTACTGCTATTTTGATGTTTTCATTACTGCTTGGTTTATTAAAATATGGTCAATGTTTTAACAGGACAATTTAAGTCTATTTTTTGTAACTTAAACTTGCTTAAACAAGGCATTATGCCAATATTTAGATCTCCATGTCTATATAAAGCTTTAAAACATGCAGCAACGCACGAGCACCTTTGCTAGCAATCTCTAATAGCAAAATTCCATAGCTATAAACATCCACCTTCACTGTGAAAGGAGAGCTTTTGAACCACTCCGGGGCAAAATACCATTTTGTTCCTGTGAAGAAACTGAATAATCTATTGGTATTGAATTGATTTGAATGAAAGGATACAAGAGGTTTTATACTACATGTGAGGAATCAGAGTTCCGTAATTAAAGACCTAGAAAATAGAAAATAGACAACAATCAATCAAGCTCCTGATCCAATGCATATTCCTGGGAATATTGCCTTCAACGATGATGGCTGACTTTACTTCCTGCATTAACAATTCCCCTGAATCTAGAGTAAGCTTGTCTAGAGAGCCATTGCTCATAAACTCATATACAAGAATCCAGTGCTGCCCCTCATTGCAGAAGCCTAGTAGGTGGACTAGAATTCTGTGGCTTGTTCTGCCAATTGCACTCACTTCGGCTCTTAATTCCAAATCATTTTCTCTGACATAATCCATTGAGGATGACTCCTTCAGTAGTTCATGAATACTCAAGTGATGAACTCTAAATGTGTTGATGAAGAGGTTCGCAATCAAGACCATGGGTCGTGGCTCAAGACGCATTGATTCTCTCTAATATACGTAAAGTGCATGGTTCGTGCTACAATACTTGTGCCCTCCCCATAACTGAACCTAGGTATGGTTCGTACTTTGATTCAATTACAAGGAGAACCCATTAAGTTCAACCTAAGCCCTAGCTATAGAGTTTAGTTGCTCCTACTTATTTCAAATACAAACTCAAAATGAAATTAGAAAGAGTTTACAGATTTTCAGAAAATGATGAAAGCTTCAAGATTATCAATGGTGGAAGTCTTCTTCTCCACTTTTCTTGGCTGCACCTTGGCTTTCTCCTAGCTCCAAACTCTCCAAAATCTGCTCTCAATGTGTAGAATGATAGAATGAAAATTGCTTTTCACGTTCAAAGGCTCCCTCCATATCTGATTGCCAATTGCTTTTGCTCCTTTTCCCATCTTTTCCTACTCACACTTTTAATATAAAACTCATTCTTTCTCTAAAGCTTTTGCCCATTGTCCCCTTGCCATTATGAAGCATTGACTCACAAAGATGCCAAATACTTCAGAAAATATCTCTTTTACAAAGGTAATTCCTTGTTACCAAGAGTTATGGTAACAAGAAATTAAGATGACACAAAGGAGGTAAAAGCTGGCCAAATCCGGATTTCCAGAGCTGTGGTAACATGCTGGATTGGTTGGATAGGCAATACTTGTCCAATGGAGCTCAAATTTGGATATGTTGTAGTTAACATCCATTGGAACAAATCTCATGAAGATCATGACCTCATCCGAGCACCAGAGCATGTTGATCCCAGGCCAAGAAGTTCACCTACGAAAATGAACAAAAACAGAATTTATAACTAATAATGCACTTTTAGCTCATTTTCATTCCAACCAAGGTAAAATCTAAGAAAACACAAAAAGGAAGTAAAAAGCTATAAAATGTCAAGAACTAACTCAAAATAGTGGGTGAATAACATGAAAAATTATGTATAAAAATGAACCGAACATAACCTACAGAACACGCACACACACACACACACACACTCTCATAAACTACAGATGAATCAGGTTTAATATAAGGATTATGGAAACACATACACACACACACACACACACACACACACTCATAACCTACAGATGAATCAGGTTTAATAAAAGGATTACTTTCCTTAGAGTATACCAAAAGTAATAATGTCAACAAACTTCAATTTAGAAACAGATCATAAGAGAGTCCATGAGTGACCAAATTCCAACCAGAAAATGAGGACAGTAACCAGAACCAATTTTACAAAAATGTAGAAGATGAAACCTGTATAAAACAAAAATTAGTTTCTATTAACAATGCATAGTGAATGTTTATGTGCATTCTCTAAGTAACAATGCATCGTGTACCATCTTCAAGCAGGGTTCTTCAGCTGACATACTTTTCATGTTTGGCTTCAGTTCTAGTTGGAGGACCTGCAAATAGATCATCTTGATAAGAAAGGCTTATTTCTAACAGAAATTATAAAGTATTTGAAAATGTAAAAACGCTAAGTAATCTTTAACATTTGAATAGCATTTAGAAATTTTACAGCAAATCTACCTAGAGGAGACAAATTACTTACTAATTGTATAGCTAGTTCAGGATAGGGATTCTTCTATATGTAATTCAACTATCATTAAAAACATTCAAGACATAATATGTTCATATGATCACTATGTGCACAATACTTCAGAAAATTCAGAGCAACAAACTCATTTAACAATTATTGAATTAGAAAAGGAAAAAAATATCAATAAGTTACCTTTTTTTTTCACAGAACAATGGCATCGAGCAAGCCTACTCTAGTGGCACTCTGTTCGGATGTCTCGTTGACATAAGACGTACACTTGAAAGGACCACAAAAATTCCGAAGGGCTAAGGAGCGTATGCTGTCTTCAATTTCAAATTCGAACATCATGGAAAAGATCTCTTTCTTCTTCATTGATTCGTCCCCTATGTCTGTGGACAAAATTAGGCCGACAATTTGAGCTCCTAGATGGACCAACATAGGTTGTATATTACGCGCGCATATAGGTAAATGAGGTAGTTTCAGTGGTTCAAGAGCTTTCAACGATGTCAAATCCTTTGACATCAAGTAGACAATCATGGATGTATCCTTCCATTCAAGAAGAAGATCAAACTCATCAAACACGTCACAGTAGTCATCATCCTTGGGGTAGTCTTTGTCATCAGCAACTGGATGAACTTCCAACTTACATGTGAAAAGCACCCAATCCCCATCCCTAGTTTCCACCGCTAAAGTTTGGCTACCCAAAGGCAAGGAAAATTCAGGGTAGTCGGTGAAAATATGTTGTTCCCATTGGTGGTTGGGGTCAGCCATATCAAATCGATACATAGGACAACCTGATATTGAGACAAAAATGTTACTTCCTACAACTACACAAGAAGTCCCACGAGATAATCGAATGTATCTAAAAGTTGGGCATTCGGGCAGAGTCACCCATTTCCCCACTTTTGGATCAAACATCTCGAACCCCCCACTAAAAGGTTTCCCAGCCCATGTTTTTAAACAGAGAGTAGAAAGCACATACAATCTGCAGTCATATTGCGCCACAAGGGGACAACACTTCCCTCGTTGAAAAGTACTGCTGTTGAACACGTAGGAGGGGTCGACCATTCGGTTAGGATCCTCAGTATCAATGATTCTCATTGCTTTGCTTGGACATGATCGGTACTGGTAGCCTTCGAATATGCTTTCTTGACCTCCGGCAAACACTATTTTGGATCCGTAAGCACCTATACCCATACCGGTGAGTGTTGTGCCAACTGGATATTGCCCAATCCGCCAAACACCAGAAGACGAAAATTCCAGGAGTTCAATACTGCAATAAACAACAGGGTGGTCCCGGCCATACAAGCCAAAACACAAATACACGATCTTAGTCGAATCCCAGTCCTTCATCATACTCTTCTGCTCCTCCTCATGCCTCTTATGTTTCTCCGAACGCAGCCCTTCTTTTTCTTCTTCTGGTCCTCCTCGTCTTCCGCTCTTCCGCTCCTCCTCTTCTTCTTCATGATTTGCCATAGAAATAAACGCCTTCGAATTTGCCTATGGGTCAAAGATATCCCTAAATTCTCAACCCCAGTATATGTATGCTGGGATATTAAAGCAGAGATTCATTACAAATCAGAACCAAACTGGTAATGAAAAATCCTTCAATATCTTTGAATTGCGAAGAAACTCAAATGCATAGAACTAAAACAAAAAGGAAATTTTTGCACACAAAAAAACCTGTATAGAGATACCTGAGAGCAGCTCATGAAGAGTTGGAATGGGTTTGGTTTTTGATGCAGAGAGACGGTGCCCGTTTGAAGATTGGAAAGAACAACAATTTATTTTGGGTTGTGTACTTAAACTGGGTTTAGGGTTTCGTTTGTGATTCTGATTAGCACCGTTGCATGAATTTTTCATTTTATCTAACGGCGGTACGATTAGTAGTGACAAAAAGAGATATGTGATGCACGACGTCGTTTGGCAAAATTAATAATATGATGCACGACGTCGTTTGGATGAATCTTTTCATTTTGTTGCTTGTTATATCTTCTCTGCTATTATTATAAGACTTATAAGTTGAGGGACTATAGCATAAATTAATAATATGATGCACGACGTCGTTTGGCAAAATCATTTTCATTTCATCTTCTACCTTGGGTCGAAATCGACCTCTCCCACTGCGTTAAACCGCCAAGGCCGAAAACTCGGACAATGAACACCTCACGGGGCTGTCACGTGCCCTATCCAACTCTCTCCTCGTCCGTACAACAGTGAGCAGTCGTCGACTTTCCCCCTGAAAAACCTAACGAAGTTGAACTTCGAGCCTAGCCGACTTCGTCGCCATCGATCTCGAGTTCGATCGAGCGGACGTCTGCCACCTCAAGGTCAAGTTAGCGGTGCTTCATTTCTCATGCGTGCGTGGTATTTTTCTTTCCTTTTAGTTTTTAGTTTGTCGTGTGTTTGGCTGCGGGGAAATTGGGGAAGTAAGAAAAGAACAGAAATTTAGGGATACTGCATGACTTTCTTGTTAATGGCACATTGGCTTTTGCTTCACTTACACGTACGTGTTAGTTTGCTGAGAAATTGCTGGGAGAGGAGATAATTTTGATTCCAGTGTTTTTCTTTGGTGTTTGGATTGGAGTGAAAAGCTCAAAAAAATTTGAGTTTCTTTTGCTTGGAATTGCCCTAGAACTCATCTATCTTTGTTCCAACTTCAATTCTATTGCTTTATCCTTCTATTCTCTGTATTTTGGGTATGGTTGGGTCGCTGGACAGCAGCTTATAGCCCCTGCCCTGCATCATATTGACCCGGTTCTTTCCTGCATCGTCTCTTAGCTGAAGGGTAGAGGCCTGTTTATTAAATGCGAAGCTTGCTCTAGCTTGTCTTCAAGAGAATATACATACATGTTCAACTGAAATAGTAATTTAGAATTTTAAATCTCAACCCTTCAGACATTTCCATCTCATTCAAATCAACTTTCTCTAACTAAGATCCAATTTCCAAACACAGTAGAAACTCTTCAAAACCTTAAACATATTATATTTAAAACACAGGAGCCCTCTTACAATTCCTAAGGCAATTAGCGGTGCTTAAATACCAAATACCAAATACCAAACAAGTTAATGTCTTCATCAGGCTAGTATATTTACAAATATTTAAGCATTGATGTCGAGCAATTAAATATGAAAATGGGATGGTGTTTTAGTGTATCTGGGCTTTTTGGATCACTCCACTAGTCCTGTCCAGTGTTTTTGAAGCATTTATCTATAGCTTCCCCATTAATGGCTTGGAAAACAGCTGATTCATTTATTTCATAATCAGATAAAAATTATCTGGCTTGATTGGACATTGTTTAGGTATGTAGCATTACTTAAGAAAGGGTTTGCAAATTGACATTGTTTATGGTAAATTGTTTATTTGTTCTTGGATGCTAGATTTAAATACTTGCTATTTACATTAATTCCTTTAAAAAGTTGTGATTCAAATTACTAGGGGAAGGAAATCTGGTCTGGGCTTTTGGATATTCAATTCTGCTCAGTTCAGACCTAAGGTTGATGGGTTTGAGTTGTTATGATCAAATACACATAATTTTGGCATTCTTGGTGGTGGAATATCTTAGCCATGCAGAGCTTGTGATTTGGAAGCTTCTGTTCCAGAGGCTGGTGATGGAGGTTTATGCTTTGTCATGTCCCATGGGTTTTGGAATTGGAAATGTAAAGCAGAAATCTTGAAGGTTCGATGGCTAATCTTAGTTGGTTTGACTTTGATATTTGCACTCTATGCTTTTTTTACTCAATTGCATCAGATGTCTCATCCTTGAAACAGTAAGACATAGTAAGAAGACTCCACAACATTACTTATCTTAAACACCTTTATTAGCTAAGGCTCATCCAGTTCTATTTACTTCAATATATACTAATTAACTCATCCTTGAAACAGTAAGACATAGTAAGAAGACTCCACAACATTACTTATCTTAAACACCTTTATTAGCTAAGGCTCATCCAGTTCTATTTACTTCAATATATACTAATTACATGTATTGCAATATACTAAATTCTCTATATAATTATACATTACTAATTACAACAGTTTGTAAACACCAAACTACTCAAGAGCACTCCAATGAGGATCAAAGCTGAAGTATCTTTCTTTTTTGAATCTGTGCCTCCAGGTGTTAAAGTAGAATTGTCTTTCCTCATTTTGATCAGAGATTTTCCACCAACACCAGGGTGAATCAACCCGTTTGAAAGCAGAAATCTCTTCTTCCAGCACTTGTTTTTCTTGAAATTGGCAACGCGCATAAACAATCACTCAGGCAACTCTGCCTGCACCAATCCTCAGTTACTGGCTGAAAATGGTCATACTCAGAATAAGGCCAATCTGTGTTCTGCATCTCTTGAAAATATAAGGATTCTGATTCTAGTGAGGCGTCATCACAACTTTGTGAATCAAAGTCCTGTTTGCATCCTTCAACACATCATCTGGATCAATATGGCTGTAACCATATGGACACTGGCAACTTGGTCCTTCATCCTCATGTCTGCATAAGCTGTTGAATCCACATGCACCGCCGCCTGTATATTCCAAGAGCGAGGTGCACATATTTGAAGGCATGTAAGACAAAGTAGACCAAGCCATGGAGCACCTTCCCACAGTTGAGCTGGTACTTTTAGGGTACACATGGTATCTAAAAACTCCATCGTACTCAAGAGTTACTCTCTGGTAGAAATCCTGCTGCATACATAAAGATCATATTTACATAAGAAAAAAATAACTCTGATAAAAAGAATGAAATGAATTAAAAGGCTTACCTTCGTATTGTAGAGTGAATATGAAATGTCCTTTTTGCAAACACAAAACTTTATGAATTTATATATGAACGAATGCATCTTTGTTTTTTTTTTTTTTTATAAAAAAAACTTGAACACTTTTGGTATGGTATGGCTGAATTCTACTTGACCACTTGTAGAGGTCACTTGGAAAATAATACCAATGCTATGCTCTATTTATATAGGAGCTTAGTCTTCTTAAAATAATACCTCCGGTTGATCTGTCCCCACACAAAAAAAAGAATAAAAAAAAGACTTCAACATATTGCTAGTTAGCTGCTTGGAAACCAAGATTTCCACACCGTACGAAGATTCTACTCTCATTAATTCCAGAATACTTTAATATGATGTGGATGCACGAATGCTGATTTGGCCATATACATAGAAAACAAAAACCAATTCGGACTTTATGTGTGAAAACTGCATTATGTATAAGTAACCTAAGGAATAGAAAGTTTCTTGGAAGAAGAAAAATTAATTAATTCCAAAGGGATGTCTTTCAGGTCGAAGGTTATAAGATTTATATGTTTTGTAAGTTAGAGAATGTTATCCTTGAGGATTGTCCTACTGTTTAATTTTTTTTGGTTACATTGGAGGAAAGAAACAATGGAATAGTTGTGCAATAGTTTTGATATGCTGGCTCGTTTGATAACCTTTTCAGTTTTCAGTTTTTATTTTTTATTTTTCAAAAGCTGAAAACTGAAACCTTGTTAAGTAACTGGAATAGAAAGTTTCTTGGAAGAAGAAAAATTAATTAATTCCAAAGGGATGTCTTTCAGGTCGAAGGTTATAAGATTTATATGTTTTGTAAGTTAGAGAATGTTATCCTTGAGGATTGTCCTACTGTTTAATTTTTTTTGGTTACATTGGAGGAAAGAAACAATGGAATAGTTGTGCAATAGTTTTGATATGCTGGCTCGTTTGATAACCTTTTCAGTTTTCAGTTTTTATTTTTTATTTTTCAAAAGCTGAAAACTGAAACCTTGTTAAGTAACTGATTTTAATTTGAAGTTTTCAGTTTTATGTGAAACTTGGAAATGAAAGTTTTTCGGTCAAATTGTGAATTTGATATCATAGAATGAAAGTGCATGTTACTAAGAGTTCGTAGTATTTTTTGGTGAATTTTTTGAAATTAGATTGATTTTTTTGTGAATTTTGGAGATGGAGTTCACGAGGCTTGGATTGGGTCCGTGGCCAAACGCAAGAATTGAATGACTGGGTCCAAGTTGGAAGGTCCAAAATACCAAATTTTAATAACTGGAATGCATGTCATATGTTTCGTGATGTAAAATTAATGAATGAAATATAGGAGCTCAAAAAAATGTAAATGAAAACTAAAAACACTTTCAGTTGTTTTAAAAAATAAGGGTGATTTTGAAAACTAGATTTCATTTTCTTGAAAACTAAAAACGAAATCTGTTACCAAACATGTTTTCAGTTTAAAAAAAAAGTGAAAATGAAAAGGCAAAAGTGAAAATAAACTGGTTATCAAACAACCCTTAGCTTCCCAAATGGATGCTTTTCTTAAGGAATTTATTATTTTCAGGTTGTGTTTGAGAAGTTTAACATATACTTGTTTCACTCAATTGATTAAACTCAAAGTCATACTTAATAATTTCTAACAAGAATAATGATCGGGACACCACATTTTTATGCTACATTTTAATGCCGCATAATATGACAAGTGATATTGTAACTCATGTACTTCCAAGTTCTTCCTTCCACTTCTCATTTTTTTCTCCATATATACATATACTAAAGGGGATATGAACTTAAAAACATCATTCTTGTTTTAAGAGAGAGGTACATCACAACCCCTTTCGAAGATCAAATAAAGAGATCTGAATACAAAATTAAGAAGTTATTTCATAATAATCCTGGTAACTCACAAGCTTGTATATTTTGGTAACAATAAAGAATAATGAAAATTTCAACAACAATTACATAATAGCACAATTGTTCTGATGGTCATAGTCATCATGAACTACATGATAGTGAGGACGAGGATAATGGATATAGCTTGATATCTTTGGAGGATCAGTTGGTTTTTTCTCCTCAGCATTTGCTTTCACTGGTTCTACACTTAGTATGGCCGCGAAGCCAAGCTTCTTCCTCAACGAGGTCAATCTGGTGGAGTCAACTCCATCTCCAATCACCTCCATCTGCTCTTTCTCTGCTTCTATCGACACTTTACTCACACCTTTAGCCACTGCAGCAATCTTCAAGGCATTGGTTCTGTGCTTCTCACAGTTCATTTGCACCCTCATAACTATCTTTTGTTGCACCATTCTGGAGCTAGATAGCTCTTTGGGGATATGGAGAAACTCTGAGTTCTATGAGTAAATGACTTTATGTTTTTCTTGTACTTGAACACTTAGAAGTCGATGAGAAGGTAAACTTAATGCAATGTGGTATTTATAGGACCAAATTTCCACACCTTAGAAACCAAAGTTCCACAGATTGATCAGTCAAAGCCACCGTAGGTTCAAATTTCCTATAATAAAATCCAGCTGGTCAATATGTATACTTTGATTCTTAAAAAAAATAAAATTTCATAGATATTTTTTAATACGTGAAATATACATAAGCCTAGAGGCAGCTCTCTAGGATGCTTCTTGTGGTGCCAGAAAACATATATGTAGAATAAATTAAGTGGACTTCACTATTCATTCATGCAGATGTATGTGTGAAAGCGTCTAACCCAATGGAATTAGAAGTTTCAGCACTACTACTTGGGCACTAATTAATTAAACCTACTAATTGAAAAGTTAACAAAAATTCATTCCAACCAATGCATATCCGTTATATCTCTCAAGTCAAAAGGTGTAATAATATATTAAACTCACACTACACGGATGCTAGAACTCAAACCGAAGACATTTTCTAAGAGAGCAATTGCAAATCGAAAGGGGTTCCTTTTACATCAAATACAATGCTTTTTATTATTATTTATTTATGAGTTTTTCGATATTTCAATGTTGGAATTTTAGTTACTAGTTGTAATTAATGGCTAAGATTCAAGTTTTCGTTAACTCCTCAACTTAATTAGTTTCTCCATGCTTATAATTACTAAAATATGAATATAATTTAAATACTTTAGGTTAATTGTATTCTTCTCCATAAGGATGTATATATAGGTTAATTGTTCTCTTCTCTGACACTAATCCATTGAGGATGACTCCTAAACTAGTTTTCTTTGTTGAATCTGGTCTTGCACGTCTCGAAGTAGAATTGTCTATCCTTTAAATTTTTTTTTATTTTTTATCAGAGTCTTCCAATCAACACTAGGATCAATCTTCCTGTTTGATTTCCAACAGGCCTTGTTCTTGTAAAAGGCAATGCCACAGAAACAATCACCTAGGCAAGCGTCCTTCCTGCACTACAGAGTATTAGCATAACTCTTTGGGATTTAGAGGAGCTAACTGTGAAACCAGTGCATGAACATGATTTGCATCAGACATTCATGCCATCGTTATAACTTTTTTCATCCACTTTTGCAGTCATTAACAATCCATTAAAAATAAAGTCGTCGAAGAATTTTGTCCTTCGGCATCCAGGGGTCGTGGACTGACCATAGAACCCTGTTCAATAAGTGGACCGCATTAGCTGTTTGCTTTCAGGTTGGGCAGTAAGGGTCGGAGAAGGGTTTTCGTGTCTTCTTATCCCTATTATTTTTCAAATCCTTTCTAGTTAGTACTAAAGCAAAGTAGTTCAAGGTGCAATGAACTAATTAACCAATTACAAAATCAGTCACCAAGTCACAGACACAATATATGTTGCTAAAATGCCAAAAAAAAAGAGTTGTCTTTCTTCCCTTATGCAAGATATGTATAATGTAACATCCCGGCCCAAAAATATGACTATTCTTAAATTTAATTAATTAATTTAAATGTAAATTTACAATTTTGCTCTCGGAGTAGGGGTAATTTGGTCACTTTCTAATCCGGAAGGATTTTGGGACAGTGAGTGGCACTTTTACGTAGATCGTACTGAGATGAGTCCGTAGACACGTAGTGGGCTCGAATCGGGATTGTAACGAGGAAGATACGATCAAAATAAACCCAGTCGCATAACCGGAATTTTTGCGAAATGGGTTTAATAAAATCTGAATTTTCTTCTCTCTTTCTCTCTCTCTCCCCACATGTAGCCCTCCACCCTCGCGGACATTTTGAAACAGTCACAAGGCTTAAGGAGTCGTTGCCACCGTCACGGTCCACCACCGGAGCTGGGACCAGTCCCAAAAAGACCGGCCAGACTCCGCCGTCTTACCCCACTCCTCTTCCGCCTTGATCTGACGCTGGTATCGCAGGAAAACGTCAAAAAAGGCCGGATCTTACGTAAAACTTTCGAAGCTCGTTCGAACACCTCCGGCCACCATTTTCTTCGAATTTGGTATGCTTTACCACCCTTTCAATGTATTCTAGCTGCTGGTTGTGGTATTTAGGAGAAATTTTTGTGTTTTGGTAGTCAAATAAGCGATGGAAGTTTTGGCCGGTTTCGGCCCCCGATTCTGATCACTTCTGGTGACATTTTGGGGTAGGTCCAAGAACAAAAGCTACTCCACCCGATGTGCTCTTCATGTAGATATAAGTCTTGACCAGCGATTTGACGTTTTTCCGATCGCCAAAATTTGATTTGAACACCCACGCGCTGCCGCATGTGGGCCACTCTTTGGCTGGTCCTTGAGTCCTGAAATCGTCCTCATGTCGTCCCGAGCACGATGGTATGCACGGATATGAATTTGGTTATCGTTTGATCGTCGATCGGATATCGCATATTAGACGTTATCTGGGTTCGATATGTTTGGACCGTTGGATCGACTTCATTTCTTTATATGTTGATCTATGCATCCCTAGGATCGTGTAGGAATTCGTGGATCGTGAATAAGAGCCCCGGATGTTCCGATTCAATAACTTAAAGTTTGCGTGAAACGATAATCGTGCGATCGTGCGATCCAACCGTCCGATCGGAACCAAACTTGCAGGACGTGTTTCCTAAACCTTGTGGAACCCATAGGAACTTTCGGATCGTAAAAGGGAGGTCGTGGGTCCCGTGGGCCCGATTGACCCAATTTGGAAAGTTTGACTGCCCAGTTGACCGCGCATCTTCCGAGGCTATTCCATCATCCGAAACACATAGTTGAACCTTAGGAACGTCTCGTTCCTCGTGCTTTTACTTGAAACTCGGGAATTAGGGTTTTAACTTAAAGTTCTCGTTCAAAGCGTTTTGTATGAATGTATGCTCGTATTCTGAAATAGGTACTCCGACCACGCGTACGCAGCAGGCGGGACCCTCTCAAGGTCAAGCAGTGTGGGACTACTTGTGAGTGGACTTTGCATTGTTTTTATCGATTGAATTAATATGCATTAAATATGGGTTGTTTTGATTATGGGAATTATATATATATATATATATTGCTTAAAAAGTGGAATTTTGACTATTTCGATTTGAGGATATTGGTTGGTTTGAATGTGGATTTATGTTTGAGAAATTTTGATGCATATTATGATGAAGTATTTGGGAAAAATATTAATATGAGTTTGGGGTACTTTATTGATTGGTTATGCGAATATGTGATATCACTATGCTAAGTATCCTCCCTTGGTTGTTGTACCCACATGTGGTGTTGGATGATTCCGATGTGTGAGCATATATATGGTGATGTTGTGAGTTTATCACACGTGGCGTTGGATATTCCGGCGTGTGATAAAGTTGTCTTCGCGCGTAGGACTTAGTGTTTTGGTTTTGGCCACACGTGGCATTGGATCTTTCGGCGTGTGTGTTGTAGAGTGTTCGTCTCCCGGTTGGACCGCTCATCCCTAGACGCAGGGTGGAAACTTGATATCCTGCGGGCTAGCCAAACAATCCCCATGTTGGATTGTTTCCCCGATACTCAAGTTGGTGTGATACTTATATATATATATATAGATAAATGTATAAGTGGAATACTTTAAATACATATGTCGTTGTAAGTCATTTCTTCGGGAATTTTTGATTGAAGTCAAAAGGTTTTGGTTTGGTTGGTATCGTATATTCTTGGGAAAGTGAGAATGCTTGGATTTCAAAATGCTTACGTAGATATGGTATCAAATGCATGTTTTGGCATTATTTTCCAAACGGTAGGGTTAGTATGTTGTTTTGCAAGATAAATCAAACTTTGTTTTTGTCCACTCTTCTTCACACACTAATTTCTAACCTATGCTAGAGTCTAGGAAATGACAATACAAATTTCATACTAACACTGAGCTGAATAGCAGAGCCGAGCCCTGAGTTTCCAAACCCCGAGCTTCTGTAGGATAAGTTTGGGTTGGTTTCTATTCTGTTAAACTTTGTTATCGTCGGTAAATTGAAATTCTTAGATTGCTCTGTTATCGCCCGTTGTAGGGTTTGATTGAAAGGCCAGAGGCCTAGGTTGTAAACAGTTTGAAGTTTAACTTGTGCATACTGCCAGTTGTGGATAAACTGTGTTTTTAACATGTTGAAAATTTTGGGAAAATTCCAATTTTAAGGGGAGACTCTGCCGAAATTTTGGCAGAAAGTCTCGTTCTTTAGTATGTGGGCCCGGCATTGGGATGATGTAGGCAATTACGACGAGATTCGTCCCGGATTTCGAAGAAATTCGGGGCGGGTCCTGTCATATAATACTAATGTTAGATAGCAAATGCTTACCAGCCATCATTATCACCAGAGAAGATGAGTCAGTACATGTATTTTATACAGAGGAAGTTCATACAGAGAAAACCCTAAAGTTTCAGTTCATACAGAGGCAGGACAATTAAATGATGAATTTTTTAATTTATTTATACAGAGTCAAGGTGTTTTAACAATCTTTGTGTAAAATGTTATGCTAGTGTGAATAAAGACATTGCATTTCAAACCAAATCTCACAAAATGAACTGTTTGAGTGTAACGCCAAAAGCCAAAAGCCAAATCTCACAAAGTGAATGAAGAAAAGATTTGATAAATCACCAAGTAAACAAGGAACACTTGATGATTTATCTGGAAAAATATGCACACAGCGTTGTCTCTGAAAAATTCAATATGCTCAAAAGTTTAATACGTTGAAAGCTGAACCACTGAAACGAATACACCTTGGTTTTATTCAAAACAAGTTCTCTCACTCAAGAGACACCTACGAGACCACCAATCCTATTCAACAATGACTTCCAAACCTTATACAACTATCACCACAAAACCTGATGCAATATGGTTTGTTTATTAAGACGCCAAACATAAAATAAAATACTATCTAAAGATGAATATGAATTGTGCTTCAATATGGACTCCT